CATTTTAGCATGAGCGATCGATTGGTGGAATTTTGTTAATATATATCTATAAACTTTTTTTTCTATTACTTGGTGAATTTATCGTGTATAAGGGTCATCTAAACTTCCAATGTATGGAGGATGAGTGTACTTATTGTTCAAAAACAAAAATCATAAAATTATCAATTTATCATGATTCAGTACGGACAATGCAGATACTTAGGTTTTTGTACGAGCTTTGGTTAAGGCTGCTTTTACAAGATGATCAATTTGTCAAATATTCAGTCTAAAGGTTAATTAGCTAATTAGTACTACCCTCACCTCAAATACGGTCTCATCAAATTTTCTCAAAGCATCTTGGCGAGTTCAATATGTGTGATATCTCCGCACCAACTTCCGTGAATGTAAAATGTAACTCGCCTTATTATCGTTAATATCACTGTGCTCCGGGCGTATTTGTACCGATCAATTAAAGGTCGAGAATAGCAAGCTCCGTCCCGGCCAAGGAAATAAAGTACGTAGATGGAATTTTTCGTGTAATTCTAATAAATTTTTAGTTTTTTACCGACATTATAAAATAATTTTCTCGTGCAAGAGTTGTATGATCATTATAAGAATGTCTTACTCTCATATTGACATATTAAATTTTATCTTATCCACCAAAAGAAAAAAAGGGGGATTGATATATATTTAATTTTAATTTGGTAAAGATGAACTTCTATCAAAATACATGAAAAAAAAAGAAGAAAGAAAGTACAGATGAACAAATTAAACGGTAGATCATGGCACACACCTCCACATGATCAGGTAACTACAGCTTAACTTATATAGAAGTGTTAAAAGTACTTGAGCATTTGTTCGAAAATCTCATTCGCAATGAGTACTAATTACCCCAAAAAAAAAAAATTACCAGAAAGAATCTCGATTACTTAATTAGACTTTGGTTTGTTCTGCTAAAGAGATGAATTGGTGACAAAAAAGAATAAAATTTGAAATTCACTGATTAATATATTCAAACATCAAGCCTTTTTCGAACAAGATATAGAAAGCAAATCGACTAATGCGTGACTAAGGGTTAGTGAAAACTCTTAAACGCAAGAACAGTTAGTGAAGAATTGTTTTCGCTTCAAGTTGTCTTTTTAAAGGAATCAACAACGCGAAGAAACTTGAGTTATATATATTCCCTGCGCCTTGCCATATTACAAAACTTCAATCTAAACATACGTTCATGCTGCTTATATCCAACCAAGAAGTCTCCCGTGATGAAGTTGCACCAAAATTTCTTTGACAATCAATTATAATCCGAATTGAAAATAATTTAGAGGAGAAGAATAAGGATGTTTGCGAGGGTTTGATTCTTTCGTGCACCAATGGAAAAAACATGTATCGCGATGTCAGAGGCGGAACAAAATATCACCAACTGCGTGTCAAATCCTGCAGCGAGAGCAGCGGATCTAAGTTGTATTACCAAGTCAAGCGATTGCCACTAAGGTGTTTTCCTTCCTCCTTGAAGCCCCTTCCATCGAATGATACTATTTCGCCAAAAATGGAGTGTTTCCAAATGTGGTAATCCATGGTGTGAAAAAAGCTTACAAGGCACACAATCCCATTGATTCATATACAAAAAATTTGCTACTTTTACTGAAGTCACGCAATCAAATCATGTGATCTGTTAGCTTTTGGGAGAAGAATTTTTTTTTTTTAACCTTGAAGAATCAGCAAGGAGGAGGAAAGAGAAGGGGAAAGAGGAGATGGAGAATCAGCCAGGAAGTATTGGAATGCGTTTGTGAACATATAACATAGTGCACTTTTTCCCAAAAAAAAAAAAAAAAAACCAATGTTCAGGGGATGAAGAAAATAGTTGAAATTACCACCGGGGAATGAAAATGGTGTTTTAACTAGTAGAGAAGGAAACATCTGTAATCTATTTTTTTGTTCGGTGGAAGGAGAAAACAAATGCGTTATTTTAGGCTTTTTTTTTTTTTTTTTAAAGAGAATGGGGTTGTTGAATTCACTTTAACACAGGATGGGTGTGAGTGAGTCCAACCCGAAAAACCCTGTTTTGGCTGGAAGGAAAGTCTGTTTTGACCAAATCTGCTTGGTTTTTCTTTTAAAGTTTCAGGTTCGATTCATGTAATGAAAACAAGATTTTTCTTGTTCTTAACAGCGCCAACTTTTTGCCACGATTCGTATGGCCTCCGTCGCAACTTGAAGAGGCTTGATGATTGAGATGAAACATTGGCTTCACATGACATAGTCTGATAACTTGTCTGAAAAATGTAGTTACTGTAAATTTTCACAATTTAGTGCGTTTTGTGCATGTACCGTGAAAAACGGAGCCATCGGCAAATTATACTGTGGACCATGGTCCAAATTGCTTTGTGAACCCAAAGTTGAAGTGTTCCCCACGCGTCTCTAAATCAAGTGTGTTTATGATTTATTTTTTTTTTTTTGATTTATTTGATGCATATCTAATCTAATCTCTAAGTCTCCAACTATTTCTTTCCTTATCATTAGCTATATCTTATCTTGCCTTAGTTTCTCTCTCCGTTTTAGTTTTTTAAATTTTTTACTTTTAACTACCTTATCTTCTCCCTATATATTGAACAAATGTCCATTAGTATTCGTAATGATGCAGTAACATTTTGCATTATGTATGAATATAGACATATATGTGTATGAACACTAAGGTAAAAATGTGTACACGTTTTGGGATTGGTAGTATGTAATACAAAATCCAGTAATATATTGAGATCTCACTAATCCACAAAACATTTAGACAATATTTATGCATATTCAGGATATTATCTGTGATCCTTTTGAGCATGTACATTGTCACAATAATATATGAACATTCACATATTAATTTATGAACTTCAAGGTAAACATGAATTGCATCTTTTGATCTTTTTGGTGAGTGTGTGTGCAAATTGTGAGAAAGAAGCATATAAGATGTTCTTTGATAATCACGCGACTAAACTAGCATACATAATTACAGGAGGCAAGCAATGAAAAGCAAAAGTCACAATGATAAAATTACACCTATAATATATGTTAGAAAGCTAGAGTTAAGAGAAGTACAAGTAGACGAGACCTTCCACTGATAGCCTATGAGGAAATAAAACCTCGAAAAGATGTCACCATTTCCATTTGCTGCTTCTATCGCTCCTGTCACTTGCTTGGAGTCTAGTCCACTATTCGTTTAACTTGTTGATCGTATACTTTTTTGCAGTATCAACTGACCTGCATGATAGTTATTTAAATATGTAAGAATTAATATGTAATGAACTTCTAGAGCATATTGAACTAAAATTCAAGTACTTGTGAGCGTAAAGTCCATATATGTAAGTGTTATATGAAGAGTGAGTAAACGAAATATTTAGGCAAATGTGTATGAATATTGACATAAAAGGGTACGTGAATTGGAATAATGATAGGTACCTGGAAAAACCAAAAAGAAAAATAATAACGAAATAATCTCAACCATTCATTTTTTAAAATTTGTAGTTTAGATATGATTAGGGTATAGTTTAGATATTTCTTGCAAATTTTTTTTTTTTTTTGCAATTTTTTCTCTGTATATATTACTTTTTTATAAATTAATAGGCAATGAGTGTATAATCTAAATTTGTATGACCGTGAAGTAAAGGATGTATGAACAAATAGGCAGATGGTGATATCATGTGATAGTACTCGTGTATGAACAAATGGACCAAGAGGTCCAAGACATATGAACAAGTAGCCAATGATGACAAGATATGATAGTACTGGTGTATGAAAAAATGATTAAAGACATCTGAACATTAAGGGAAATATGTATAAAAATTAAATAAATGAATCAGAAAATATTATGGTCATATTATTGTATGAACTTCAGCACAAAAAATTATATCAAGCGATGCATGAGTTGAAACACAAAAGCAATTTATCAATGCGACAATGCCCCCATTTATTATATGTCAACGTATATTCAATTAATCAATTATGTATGAACATCAACTCACGAAAGTATGAATAATGTTGTATAATCGTTTGAACGTGAAACTTTTAAATCAAATAAACCTAATTTTACGTGTAATACAAATAAACATGAACAAGAAATAATTATACAGCGCCAGCCAAAAAAATTAAATAAACAAATTTTCAATAATTGATTGAAGGTCAATATCAAGATTGAACACATCTCCAAAACAATAAAAGGAATTCTAATAGCAAAGCCCTTAGCAAAAGCTTACTCATCATATTTACACTAATACTAGAACACTAAATTTGAGCAAATTCAAATTGATGGAAAGAAAACCAAAAAAATAAGAACTTTTCTTTGACTTACCCAATTTATCTAGGCAATAACGATGATGACCACAATGGCGACATGACATTTCTTGGACAATGGAAGAGGAAAATTGGAAAACCTTTGATTTTTGGATGGATATGCAATGACACCCTGTGTTTTCTTATAGTGGTAACATCTTTTGAACGTGACTGCAGGAGACGAGAGACTACTGAAGAGGAGAATTAGTTTATTTTAGTTTTGGTTACTGAATGAATGGATGTTGAATGCAGGTAAAAATGGTTATAGCCGACAGGAAAATATTTTTTTTTTTTTTCTTATTATCCTTTCCTTGTGTTTCTCCCGCGTGTTGCTAAATTAGTTTTAGTTTTTGTTCACTGTTTTAGTTCCTTAAATGTAGCGCGCGTGCATTTACAATGGGTTCACCATGCAACATAAACATGGTCTACTATATAAGGATTGCCATCTTACCATATTTCGTCCCAAACGGCAAGTGCTGATTAATATGCACTTCGTTTCGAAATTATTGTTCACGCGCTAGTGATTAATATTCACTTTGTCCCGAAATTATCGTTCAATATAAATTTTTATTAATATTAGTTTAAATTATACTAAAAGTGAAAATTCTAAACTGGACAATTAGTTTAAGATATAAGGAGCATATAACTGTTCATTACATCAATTAAAACAAAAAGAAGTAAAAAAAAAAAATGTGTTTTTCTTTTTTTTTTGGGGTTAACAAAGAAAATGTGTTTTCAGTGAAATGAAACTTCGCAAAGTGTCTGTGTCTGGGCACTGAAACCGTGCCATTACACAAAGAAACGTTTCAAAAGTGTGAACTTTCAGTCTAAATATCTGTTTGTAGCGTATGTTTTAAATAGCATGCACAAAGCAAAGGATATAATAATCTGGAGAAGAAAATGTACGTGTTTGATATATCTCTATCAGAAATGGACAAATAATTTCCCGCTCCAGAACAATCACAAAAGGAACAGAGAAATCTCATCCCAAGTTTTGAAGTCTCACTTTATATTGCTATCAAGACTACAAGGGTTGCATCTCCAAAGTAGTATGCTCAGTGCCATTCGTTGAGGATGGTGCAGGATCCCTACTAGCTGCTTCCATCTCTTGAACGGGAGGAGGATTGACTATTGTCATTGGTGCAACCATGTCATCAGAGAGACGACCTTTCATCTCCCTGTGCTCCTGGCACAAGGCGCACCAGTGCATGCAGCAGTGCACCAAGCAAGGGTCGCACGGCGAGTTCTGCCACGACAAGCAAGAATATGAGAAGTTTTGTTTTTTCCGATGAGCATTGGCATCATCCTATACTGATGATGTTAAATGTGGTTCCAAGATTGTGCCATTGCCATTGCAAGAAGAATCAGATCACTCTTAAAACTAACTATTGCACGTTCTACTATAACAGAATCTAGCTCTATCAAGTAGAATTTAAACTATTAACACTCTGCACGTCGAGTTAATAACCAAAGTTCATGTAAGTGGTCCTTCTGTCAATACTTCCCACCACCTGCTAACTCTTTTAAAACCATTAGCAAATTCAATAGTAGTTGGAAATTCAACAAAAATACATGTGATCTGCTTTCCTCTGTCTCATGGTGTGCTAGAAGTAGCTAGTAATAATGCAATGACAAAATCAAACCTACGCGATGGTAGAAAACATGAATTTGGCTTTTGAAAAGGAAATAAAATCCACAGAACCCTCTGTCACGATACAGACATCAACTAGGAAGAATAACTTTCAAAGATCATGTCTATGGCATCTCCAAATTAGACATTATATAAAATAAAATTACAGAGAATACAATATTAAGAGAAATTTCTGGCAGATGTTGACCAAGTTAATTGAGAAGGGAAAATTACAGAACAACAATCATTAACGAGAACTAAAAAGGAGCTGACAGGATAAGTGTGATTCAAATTATGATTACTCGAGACACGGAGATGTACATTTTTGAGGATGCAGTCTTTTACAAAAAGCCAATTCATAGAGCTCCACTCAGATTTTACATTTTGGGGTAATAAGTGAAAAGTTGTAACATTTTCTAGTTGGCTAGAAGTTCTGATCAGTTGGGAAGACGCAAATCAAGCAGCAAGTGGCATAGAAAATTGGAAGTTTTAAATTTGTAGAATGTCAGTAATAACAGACAAGCATAGAGAAAGAATGATCACCTTGAGATGATATTTCTTCTGCAGTGACTGCCGCACTAGACCAGTGTATATCCCACACATCCACCAACTAAATAACAAACCTTCACAAAAGAGAAATGATGTCCTAGGATCAATTCCGTAGAAAAGTGCAGTTCCAGCAGCTAGTGCCATTCCACCTTCAACAAAAATAGCATGACAAACACAAGGTGTGGTCCATGGGGTATCTTCTCTCAGTTTCTCTACATTACGTCCAAACAAAACACACGGGCAAAAGAGTCCCTGCCAGCCTGTAAAGGTAGAGAAAAATAGCAAGTTACAGTTGAAAGTCACGAGGACAAAGTAAACACTTTAAGAGCAGCTTAGTACCAAAGACATAACAAAGTGTATTAACGATTTGAACCAAACTCAAACAAACAGTGTGTCTATAGTTTTATAGAAAAGCACCATACACTAAAATAGTACAAATGCAAAGGGAACACTGAAAATTGACAAAGAAGCACCAGCTATCTATCTAAAAGGCATTACCAGACATAAGGTGAATTTACATAGCCGCATAATATAGCAGCAAATCTAATGTTTAGAAACCACCTGATGCAACCACTAAACTCTCCCCTCTCACAGCAGGACTAATCTTTATCAGTATTACGCAAAAGATTAATGGTAAATTTAAGAGAGAAGGAAGAGACGCAGGTACTTCCAGTTCATTGATTAAGTGAAGCAACACAACATAGTTTACCCTTTCCAACTATGATTTCCACTTCAAACATAGGGAAGATAGGAAAATAAAGCAGTCACTTTCGGCATGAGAGAGGAAGTGCGAATTCCAGAACTCGTACATAATTGTGGACTCAAGCCTTTGGACAACAAAATGATGCATGATAGACATATATTGAAACACAGATATTGCCACACAGTTTCAAAACGAGTTTCTCCAGGAAACATACAGCTTTCTGTATCTTCAGCACAGCCAAAAATCCCTGTTGTCCATGGTTCATCTGCAGGAGGTTCAAAGCTTTCAGGTAAAGGTTGTCCGCATTCATTGCACCTACGAACGTTTAACTGCAAATTCATACCAAAAAAATGGATCATTTATACAAAGTGACATATTAGCTCCACTGAATACACTGATATAGTGTCAAACAGAAACGTGTTTTTTAGCACACTGCACATGTCTAACAGATTAGCAGATGATGCAGGAACATCAAGGAGGAGGCAGAATGTGTTGAAACATTTGAAAATTTCAACAGCCATGTTTAGCTTGCATGAATTTTAACAGAATTCATCAACAGCCAACTACTTGATCATATTCGTGCAATGGTTCAAAAGGCTCCTAAGCCACTTCATGATCCAATAGTCCTCAACGATTTAATAATTTTAAGAAGCAAACATAATCCTCAAATATCACATGAAAGTGAACATCATGTCACCACCAATCAATCATATTCTACAATAAAAAGGTGGGACTTAATGTGAACATAAAATGTCATTTGACCAACTCAAGCAACATCATGGCTTAAAGATAGAGGCCAGTGATTTTACTGGTGTTAGATTTTCTCACAAAATGCCCAAAGTCCTATCAGTTAATCCCTAGTCGACAGTATCAGGAAATTGTAGCATTAGTTTCATTGAGTACGTTTTAATGATCTCAATGTTGCTGAGCATCTCAAAAGCTAAAACTTGTTCAGAACACACGGCAGGTAGTTCATCAAATGGAGCATGACAAAATGTATAAAAAATACCTGAGGGACTTCAATGGGTTGATTAAGTTCCCCGGGCTTGATATCTTCCAAAGGTGCCTGATCTTTGGTCAACTTCACATACCTTGACGGATTTCCCCCATCTGCCATCTTCTAACTCTAGATCAAATCCACAGAAAGATCAAACCCCAATCATCAAATAAATGAATAAAAAATTATGGGATCCCAAAATGTGGAGCAAGTATGAACAAGCTGGGATCATTAACTGCGAAAATAATAACCCCAAGAAAGGGGTCAAAGATAACTTCTTACTTGAGCACAAAATGTGGCAAAATTTGGGTGAAAGTTCAAGAGGGGTTTATTTACAAGGAAATACAGATGTGACAATCAACTCTACAGTCCAAGATTTGGGTTCTTTGGAAATTAGATTGTAATCACTAATCAAGTCTAATTAGGCTTGGCCGGCAGCCATTGATGGAATCCCATAATCAGTAGCCAGGTAAGTATTCAACTGAGTCTCCATTAGCATCATCAGATCAACCAGAAAATTCGCAAATTAAACTTCCAAAGAAAATTTATTCTCACAGTTTCAAATCAATTATCAGAACAGAGTGCAAAACCATCCAAAACTGAAAATTTGACAACTTCAACACCCAAAATGAAAACAAGAAACACGAGAATGATAGCATTTGCACAGAGGGACAAATCCAGATGGATCATCTAACGGAAAAAGTTCAAAAAAGAATTACAGTTTCATGTGAATTTCAGAAGTTACCTGGGAGAGAGAAAATGAAAGTGGGAAGAACTCTTCTTCTTCTTCGTTGAAATTGTGGGAGAATTTAAGAAATGAAGTTTGCGTTTCTGGTTAGACTTTAGAATTTTGAGTGTTGACTTTCTTGATGGGTTTAAGGGTAGAAAGTAGTCCTGGTTTGTTTATCACCTCATTTTACATTTTAATGCATTTTACCTCTTATACATAAATCCAGTAAAAAAGAAAATATCATTCAAAAAACTTTCTGATTTACATTTTAAAATCCAACTTGAAACACTTTTTGTTAGTGTGGTGACCATTTTTTGGAACTAAAAATAATTCAGTGACTAAATCTAAAACTTTGCACATTTATTTCAATTTGCCTCTAGTCAAAAAATACTTTCTTCAATTGATGATGATTAGGAAAAAGTTTTTTGGATTATGTACGGAAATATCAAGTCAAAAAATATCACTAAACAATCGAAAAGTGTCAATTTTGGTCACTGTAAAAAAAGAATTTAAAAATTCACTAAACAACGGAAATGTGTCGATTTTAGTCACTGGAAAATATTAATTTTAGAAGTTATTCCGTAATTTTAGTGATCATTTTACAGTTGTTTAGTGATCATTTTTTAAATTCTTTTTTTTACAGTGACTAAAATGGGATTTCCGTTGTTGAGTGATTGTTTTTGAAAAAGTTCAACTTTGTAGTGACTAAAATGTGATTTACGTTGTTGAGTGATTATTTTTGAAAAAGTTCAACTTTGTAGTGACTATAATTGACAGTATTTAATTATTTAATGATGACTCGTAATTGGCATTTCAAAATGTAATTCAAATTATTTTTTTTCAAAACCAACATTCAAACAACTTTTTGCTCAAAATACCATTCAAATAACATTTTCATTTCCCATTTAGTTTTCAACTTGAAACACTTTCCACTTTTAAATATCAAAATGAAATGTAAGATGGAGTCCAAACAAACTTTTTTCTACAGAAACGGAAATCAAAGTTTGTTTAATAAGTACTTTGGTCCCCTAAGCTTATATAAACTCCATAGTTTGGACCCCCCTAAATTTTGTTTAATATTGAGTTTTAGACTTTTTAAGTATTTGGTCTCAACGAAATATGATTTCATTTATTTTTTTTAATTCACCTACATCTTTAATGAGATTTGTGGTTATGTAACACTAATTTTTCTTACAACGTAGTGATATGTTTGCTATGAAACCAATTTTAGAAATTTATAAATGATATATGCACTTGTGATACAGATCGTACAAGAGTATACGCTAATACATACAATTTGAAAACCACAAGAATTTGAATAAAAGAGGTGGAAAAATGGAAGAGGGAAAATGTGTTTAATTGTTTGTAAATCTCACCAAAAACAATTCAGTTATCCATACATATGTGGAACGAATCGATAAATTCTAAAAGAACAACATACTTAGCATCCAAGAACCCTAATTTTTATAGGAAAATAAATAAAAGAAGATTCCTGCCATGCAATATAAGAAGGCTAATTTGTGCAATGCAATTTAGTCACGTAGGGATTAACGCAAAGAGGCTCGCGTAGCCAGTACATTTAATATTTGGTCTTCATTTTAGATTTGGAATTTAATTTAAAAAGTGTTTTAAATGAGAGTTTTGAGATATTGCATGGATAATTTTTAAATAAAATATTAATTTATTCACCCATCCATCACCGCCCGGGCTGAACCTCAGGATTAGATAATTAATTTTTTTTAGACAAAGAATACATAATTTCGAGCTTAGAGCTTAAACATTGCTTTTGAACGAGGGGATCCTCCTCCACATGTTTCCACATCTTCGAGTGCAAGCTTACATTTTTATTCCCTTAGCTTTGGTTGTTCTTGAACTGATTGGTCCAGTTCCAAAGCATTGTTTTGATCACCGTCTCAGGTAGGGTGAAAATAGTAACAACATAATGGGGTAACGATATTAATTTACATTATCGTTATTATTAATAAATGAACGATTTTTAGTGAAATAATTCAGTAAATGATGTCAAACTGATAGTAAGGCGGTACACAATTATTCCTATGTGTTTTTGTTTGAAGAATTCAATTCTTAACTATGTTTTTTCATTAGTGTTACATTACGTAATTCCACGAACACTTTTGCTAAATGCATTGACTAGTAGGAATTAAAATGTCAAGACGCTGAAAAGAAATTGAGGAAAAAGGCGAAATTTTGTTTGGCTAAAGAAAGCATAGAACATCATGGTCGAATTGGTGCTACTAACTCCATTTGATTATTCGTTATGTCACTTTCCATCATTTAACAAATTATTCCCAAACGAGGTTAATTATAAAGAATGAAGACTGATTAAATTAAATACAAGAGATGAAGAAAAATTCGAACGAAGAAAGCATGGAAGCCATTTGGGAATTCTCTATTTGGTAGTTCAACAGAGTCAGAAAACACTTCTTTTTGCATCAATTAAATAATTACGTTCAAAGCTCATTTCATCAACTTAACTTTCATTCACAAGCTGATCTACATTTTTATTACATTTCTCCTCAAATTAATTGGCATAGAGAATAGATAATTCGAAATTGATCTGATAACTCGAAGTAGCACCCATTTGATATTGTCAATGTATTTCTGTTTCACTAAGAGAGTGATAAAAGACCGAGAATACTTTGGACCTTAAAGTTTAATTAAAGCATGGCCATCGAAGAAGAGAATCCTTCCTGCACATGCTTCCTCATCCTCAAATCAGCTGATCAGTTACAAGTACTTCTTATTCCCTTCCCCTCACAGCTTTGCTAGTTCTTGAAGTTGGTCCTGTTCAAAACCATTAGAATACTCTTTATCATCATCTCAAAAACAACAAAAATGCCGGAGATGATGCAATGGCACTAGGACGAATATAATTCCCAGACTGTGTTTTTCTTTTTGAAATGGGAAAGACAACTATTTTTTTGATATGTTTCACATTTGAGCAATGTGATTATGATTTCCCAACCAAAAAAAAAAGGAAGAAAGAAAAAAAAAAAGTATTTCGTAATTTTGCCTTTTCATTACTGTTAAATAAGCTGTTTTATGATTGGTAGAGAGTTTTGAGAGTCTCATGGCTCAAGCAAAGAAACTGGAGAAGGTATGTGTATTTTTTATTGTGTAGTGGTAGCAGAGGCAAGAACATGAATAGGAGATGCTCATTCTGGTATAGTTATTTGTTTTGTACTCATCGTTTTACCGAATTGTTTCGAACAGAGGCTATAAAGATCACAGAGCTAACAACGAATACAGAAAAACAAGAGAATTTCTAACCTCAGTCACGAAGAAAGCATGGAAACCATAAGGAACTCTTTTTGGTAAATCAACAACAGCAACAGGATCAGAAGACATTGTTTTTGCATCAATTACATTGACGGCTGATTTCCTGCACAATTGACACATGGCAAATTCATGAGAACATAAATACAAGAAGCACAAGCATAATTTTCATGAATCAATCTAGAGGATTCAGGTACACGAGATAGAAATTTCTATACCCTGTTGTTTCATCATGTACGAAGAAAATTAAGTAGCCATCATCTTCTTCAACTGTAGTTCCTGGTTGGCGGGGAACAAAGACAGCCTCCGAACCAAATCTTCTAGGTCCAAGGTCAAAGAGACCTACAACATTACCTCCTACTTCAATTTTTGTTTTCCCATCCTCTGGTTCAGCATGCAAATCGAATTTGACAATTCCCGTGACTTTGGCAATGCTATTCAATGTGGTTCCATATACATACCGTTGTTTCCTATAACCAGTTCGGCAGATGAAATTTAGAACAGTAGACATACAGATAAAGGTCGCGGGGGGGAAGAAGTTCTAATACTCCTCTGGTTCTATCTGTACGGCAGAAAATAGAACTGCAGGCAATATTTTATATGCTCGGTTTTCTTCCAGAAAAGTTCAAGACAGGTCAGAAAATTGTTGTAGCAAATACCTGCCAGTGTAGCTCTCATTCACTCTAGGGAAGTCAACTGCGGACTCCGAAAGTTTCTTCTGTGAGGCTATACCGGTTTTCAGGTTAAATCTCATTTCATACCTGAAATTGCAGTTACCAGAATAAGGAACACCTTCGAGATGTTAATGGGATCACAATGATGGAGAGATGGAGGTTTTCTTACAGTTCATTTGAAAAATTGTCAAGCTTCTCTTTCACTTCTCCGTTAACCTGGTCTAGGTCAGGGTTCTGCAGACGGCAAGTGATGAGTACAACTTCATCTCCTTCCTCCCATGCATTGGCTGTTATTTTACAAAGAAGAAGGGCGCAGATTCAATCAGATGACAACTGACTAAAGAAGAATGTAGTTCCAGATGCATAGCATAAGACAAAATCATCATGGTTGGAAATGCATTCTTGAAAAGCAGGGATATGTCCAGGGAACGAAAATTAAAATTTTCACAATTATTTTTGTACAGTCCAATATAACTCACAGTCATTTGTTTTCTGCTACCCATAGATATGATTACAAAGAGAAGTGGAGAAGAGAGGAAAAACCAAGGATTCTGTCAAGGGGAAAGTAGAGGCAGAGGCAGAGGATACTGTACTGTGTTCTAGTATGAAGGAAAAAATATTGAAATTAGTAATGTTCTACGACCTCCCACAAGAAAGGGGGTGCAGGAAATCCATAATGCAAGCCCCAAACAGAAATGAGCTGTAGGCTTTCACTATTGCAACGGAAGCAAAGAAGGAAACGGAACCTAAATGAAGACATCCGCTTGATTTTAGCAGTTGTTGGATACAGATGGTGAAAACTTAGAATATGAAAATATCCAGTCACATGTTAAGTGTGAATTCGTAGGACTTATTCATGTCTTCCATTAAACAAGTTAAACAGGACAGAATCCAGAGTTGCTTAGAATTGATTCCCTATTTACAATAATAAAGGTCAAGACCTTGGGAATCATCTGAAGAGAAGTCTCGATGAAACATGAAATCGAAAGGAGTTAAACTAAGGAAAGATAAGTTCTTGCACTCACCGTTGTGGAATATGAAGCAGTTTGGAAGTTCAAACCATTTTATTAGAAGCTCATTCTTTGAATAGCGGGGAAGTATTCCAAAACGAGCCTTTTTTGTTTGATCAAACGTGAATATCAGCTTTTTATCCTTCACCATTTCCTGAGACACATGAGTAATACTACTGTTAAACAGACTCGTGAATTTTTAAATGCCAAATGTAAGGTAAAAATTTGTTATTGAAAACTCTCCAATCAGTCCACGAGGAAATAAAAAAAAAAGCAAGTCTCTTCAACCAGAAAGTTATGAACTGGAAAAATCAGAATACCTTAGGCCTAAAGTACAATGGGAGATCCAAGAATATTGCATAATTTTCAGTAATTGCAAAATCATGCATCATTATAGGTTCTGGAATTGTTATTGGCACGGGATCATCCATTACACCCTCCTTGGAAATGACTCTGTAGGTGATATATGGAGGTGTCTGAGAATAACCAAAGGTAAACATCTCCCCTGCCAGAAAAGATTGTGTTAAATAGACCACTCGTGGAATCTGAAAGAATATGTTCACTCACATTGCAGGTTCAATACAAAGCTGGTTTTTCATGTCATGAGTTATTTACACAAAATTGCTATGATCACAGGCACAAAATAATTTCGATTTGCAACTTGTAGGATTGATACATTCTGTCAACTGTTGATATTCTAAGCCTTGAAATCTACAATGGACCTATCTCAACAACTCATGAAGAGGAAATTTTCATGCTTAGGGGGGAAGCAGGCATCATTTTCAAAAAGGTAAACATGAGCTTTAACTTTAAGCACCATAGAATAGATCAAGGGAGGTTGAAACTCCCATTGCTTGATTGTCAAATTAACCCCACCGAAAATGGCAGACATCAGAAGGCCTAAGCCTATAGCACAGCCTTTCATTTTGCTAGCTCAAACTTTGATGCACCCATTTTGTTTACCAGGTTTTACTCTTAAGTCATCACCAATGTTATGCGCTAGTTTAGTAGCACTCATAAATCAAGTTATTTGTAAGATGTAAATCAGAACCTCAGCCACCAAGACAGTCAGGTTGTTAATTTGCTGAATTCTTCTCTAGCTTGCAATGATGCACGTAAGTTTTGAAACCATTGTTGAACTAGCAAATTTGATGTCAAATGAAGCAAGAGAAAGATTCGGGCTTTCACAGTAGTTCAAGTATGGGTACATCATCACATTCCATCTTGGCTCAGTCTTATGAGTGTAAGTCCACTTAGTGTCATTTACATTCAGGCCCATGTTCAGTTCTGTGCAATATAACTCATAAATTACAAACAATGATGCAGCAGTCTAACTGAGAATAACCAGCTACTTCATCTATCTGGGAATAAAAGAGGGGTAAATACTACCACATTTCTGTTACCTGTGAAGGGGTCAACCTTTGGATGAGCAGTAAAAGAATGTGTCAATCGTTTGTCATAATCCAACATGCCTAGAGTTTGCAGGTCTCCATCTTCTAAGACTTTCACAACATCTGCAAATTGAATTAAAAATATCAAGTGATACTCACAATTAAACAAATGCACCACAATGTATTAATTTGATGTAATACATGCAACACGAAACTCAAGGTACTGCTATCATTTACTAAATTGTGTCTGGATACATCGCCAGAAATAAATATTGCATAACCCGACGGAAAACATAAGATATGTAAGAGATTATCCAGATTTTTAGATTGATTACACAGCCAGAAAATAAATGGCAGACTTACATGGTTTATCTCCCTCTGAAAGAGCCAAGAGCTTCCCATGGTGATAGACTAGAGCTGTATTTGCTGGTAGTATAAACCATGCCGCTTCGCATTAGAAAATTTCAAAGCATACAAAAATGAAAAAGAAAAAGAAAAGGAGAAACAACATGGTCTGTCATTTTCTCTGTTTTCCTTGTATTGTGGCTAGAGAACATACCAGATGTAAAGCTATCATAAGATTTACCAACCAAAAAGAGTATAAATAAATAAATGATCTGATTTCGTTTTGTCTTTCTACTATTAGCACATTATAGATCAGAAGTAAAGATGGTTCTCACCCGTTCCAGTTCCATAGGTCAAATCCAACACTTTCAGCTTTCCTCTAAGAATTTGCATATACACCGAGAATAAGCCAAATAGTCCCTTCAGGTCCCCAATCTGCAAGTGTTGCAATGAAGAAGTGTGAACAAACTAACTCCTTAAGGTACTCTATAGCAAACAGAAAAGGTTCAAACGACTTAAACCACCAAAAGCCCCTCACTGAAGTTTGCCAATTCCTAGAAAAATCAAAGTGAAAACTTCCATTTTCTTTAATTAAAAAAAAATCATTGCATTAATGGCGTGGTTTGAATCTTACTTTCTTGTATTTGGGTCCTCCTGGAGCTCGTGTCTTATTGATTGGAGTGTCATATTTCTTTTGGTACTTTACAAGGGTTGTACTTAATTCTTAGTTTTGGGACCAAAATTTATGTCAGCAGCTTATATTAATACTTCCTCTGCTAAACAAAGTCTTTCAGTTTTCTACTTTTTCATTCTGCAGAACTGTCAAACTAAAGACTTTCAACACAAGGCCATTCAAAAGATAAGTTGGTCAATATTTTAATAGACCATCAAAACTAGGAAAACACACACTCCTTTCCAACCCCCTTATGACAACAGTATTAAACCCTCATCATACTATACAAGGTAGGCTATACGTATGATATCTCCATCTAATTCCATCAAACTAGCATTCACAGCTCCTGATCATAATTCTCATTTGTATCATCCCCTTGTTTTCCTTTTTCTTTTTTTTTTTCTTTTTTTTTTGGTTCATTATCAAATTTAGTCGCCATACATTTAGATCAGTAATGCAGAGCTGGATCTATGGTCAATTTGTAAGTTATTTGTGGAATTTTCTATCTTTTATTCCTGTTTTAAGGTGTGAACATGATTTTTTCTTCTTTGATTAGGCATTCGGGTTAATATTCATGATTACATTAAATTGATTTTTTTCGCAACATAAGTTCAAATTCACCAACCAACTACTCTCACGTTTCCATCCCCAACAAACTTAGTTAAACCTGCAGATTAGAAGCTTGGGCCGGCGCAGTATTCATCACCCATAAAGGTCTCAATTCATGTTCAGCAAACATCAAATCAACTAAGTAGTAACTCCACAATCATCAAGGGCTTTGTTTATTTTTTCCATTCTAGGTTTTAAAAATGTCAAATTTTCTTGTACTGACCACAAGTCTAAGTACTCAATTCCTTGTCCAAAAAAACTGACATTTGAGATGATCTAAAAATCTGTTGGATATTGTCTTCTTGAAATGACAAAAGTTTCTAGAGATACAAGACAAGAAAGAAAGCAGAGAATAATGAGAAGGGAAAGAGAAGTTTTATTATCAGAGATAGGTACCTTCATAAACTTAGATCCTCCAAAGTATTCTTCTTGTTTTAACTTTGATGTCTTCACATAACGAGAGACATATGTTGCTTTTCCATCTTTTATACGGATACCGTGAATCATCCTGCAACATCAGCCCATAAATCGTTAGAACACACTGATCCACACTGAAAATTTTCCCAAATGATTCTAACAATGTGTTATCGACTATTGATAAGAAATCAAAAGGTCACAAAGGAAACATAAATCTGTGATAGCTACATCACTAAACCTACCATCTCATCTTTCTTTGCTTTACACTAAAATATATAAGATGAGAAGTTCAAGGATGAGAAAATAGCCAGAATGTTACAACATCCTTGTTCAAGAGCATTCGGGCTATCAGAAACTTAACTCATCTCAAAATAATGATAATTATACAGCCTCAAAATTACAACATTTCTTACTCTCTCCAAGCCTTTAAGTAGTTCTGATCAAGCAAAATAAATTATACACCAATTTTAGTATGTATGAAATCCTTTGTTTAGAAAAATATATTTTGTAATCGGTGCAGATTTAATGGAAAAACAGAACTAACAGTGGTCCTTCAGCCAAAACTTAGTAAAGCACAAGGATCAGAGGAAAGTAGAGGAAAGTATGGACTATATCTACAATCAAGGATAAAGAAAGACCCACCCATCTCCATCGAACCTGCAAAGGAGAAAAACAAGGGTAAGGTCCATTGGGTTCCATGCAAAAAAATAACTGAGAATGAAACTTACTAACTGCTCTTCTAGAAGAGGGCCTAACAACCAGAAGGAAGATCCTGGAAAAAGCAAAAAGCAGTTACAAGAATATAGACGTACCAATGATATCCAGCCACAGGAGAAAACTTTGGATTTGGGCCGACCCTCACAAATTCACCATTGAGACAGTCCTGTGACGAAAATGTTTTCTTATACATTACAGAATCAACAAAGGTGCAGAACCAAACTTCCAGCATCACGTGGCAAGTTCATTGCAATGCAGCAGCAACACAAGCACAAGTATATCTCTATAAATTGATTTTCTCAAAGAATCCTAGAAGCATCTACAACCACAGACTGAGAAATTCCTATCCAGTGAATTCGTTTTGAATACTAAGCCATAGTCCATAGGATGGTCTATCTTAAAGTTTTGGCTTAACTCCATGTTGATTTATTAAAACCATCTACATATTTAAGGATGTTTTTCTTAACAGAGAAATATATGCAATAATTGGTGAATGCTATTTCCGAGAACTAGCAAAGAAGTTAATTCATATTGTTGTGTCAGTTCCTCTCAAAATGAATTCCTATCAAAGTTAGCATTCCTGTGAATCCTCAATATGGTATAGAAGATTACCCTTGAGGTCAACCTCTGCTAAAAAAAAGCCAAGCTTGAAGAGCAACATGTGTTACCTAACTCAGGAATTTTCTTCATTATATGCCTATTTTGATCATCCCTGTCAGTATGGTGACTTTGCAGTACATTGACAGCCAACTCATCTCCCACAAGTTGGGACAGGTAACTATGTCCCATCATCTTTCTCCATATATAAGATCTACATCCCGTAAACTTAAATTTATTATGATTTGACCGCCACAGCAAAAACCCTACCCCTCCACACATTTGTTACAACACAACATATGCACCATCTCGCATGACATAACCTTTCATTAAATTCACCAAATTCTACATTTTAAATCTTCCCTGATGATCATGATTCATCAGGATCATTGCAACAATTCCTAAGCATTCAGATAAATAATGCAAAGAAATGATGAGTGAGGAAGTATGGAGCCACCAAAGAAATAAAAAAAAAGCTAGGCTGCTTCTGGTATTGATTCAGAATAAACACATAAGTATCACCTTAATTAATCCTTATGTCATGGCGTATCCAACAACATAATTACTCTGCCATCCTTAAGGTATAAATCCCAACAAATCAAACAAGTGCACTCTTGTAATTCCGTAGTAAAAACTCAGTTCAGTCTAAATTTCACATTCAGTAAAGAGACATTAAAATTTGCTAAGTGAACTGGCGGTGGAACTTACAGGAAGATGACCCTTAACGGGAAGGTCCTTGAGAGGAGGAGTCTCCTCAGTCACCGGAGCAAAATTCCCAGAAAGATAATGAAGAGGTTGGCTAGTATCATACGCCAACTTCACCACCACTTTCTCAATCCAATCAATCATCTTAGAACTGAACCCTTTCTTGGGCTTCGGATTCACAACCACAATTTTGCTGTCCTCAACTTTCTTCACCTCTTCTTCTTCCACAATTGAACCCATCACTTCAAAATTCAGGACAAACCCTTTACTTATTCCTCCTAAAATGAACCAAAAAATCCTTCCTTTTTCAATATATCTGATTAAAATCGGATGCTCTTGAGAGCAAAGATGATTATTTTACCTCAATTCTACACCAACCCAGTTAGCCCACTTCTTATAACAACGTGTCTGTCTGATATTCCGCTCCAAGATTTTTAAGTCAATTAACACATGTACCTCCATTTGTGTGGCTGTGGGGTACTTTGGATTGGAAAAAATAATTCATGTGGACTTGATGGACTGTTTGCGTGATCGAGTGTGTGTGACCGCTTGAGTAGTCATTATCAATGTGTTATTAGGAGTTCATATTACTACAAATTCTTACCATTCGATTTGTCGTATGTTTGGAGAATCAAGGCTTCGCGGCATTGCCAGCATCACTATTGTTTTCGTTAGACGTCCAAGTCGGCTGGGATTTTTTTGGTTTTTTCTTTAAGAAAAAAAAATAGTGGCTGTTACTACAAAAAGAAATAAATAAACAAATAAATAAAGATAATTCTTTTTCGTTGGATCCAAAGTGTGATTTAATATCGATGATGACCAGATGCTCTCATCTCAAAATAACAAAATCAAAATCGATACAGATAATTTGGGATTCTTGTATAATTAACTAGATGCTTACCCCGAGCAAATGTCCGGATGTTGCCTGTATTTTTAAATCGATTAAATAAAAAATACGAATCATCCTTAAAAGAATAAAAAAATAAAAAAATAAAAAATCGATTGAAAGGACAGGAAGTGAGTAACTACACATAAATCTATGCCCAGATTTACAAGATTTAATTTACAACAGTTAACTTATGCCCGAATTTACGTAAATCATAAACTAATATCTACAAGAAAAGAATTAACAAAATAAATCATCCTTAAAAAATCAAATTTCTTTCATGACAGTTAATTTTTTTCTCTGTTGTAGAAAAAAGTAAATTGATAATTGATGTCAGATTTTAATTAATTGATTTAAAAGCTCGAATGTGACAGAAGAACAGAATGGAAGAGATCCTTCGAAATTGGGGATTGGGGAGACATTACTGGTGTTTCATTTGATTTAAGGGGATTTCCTTACATTTGATTTTATCTACTAAATATTGTATATTGTTGTTTAAGGGATTAGTATATACATATAATTAAGAGATTTTTATATAACTATAATTAAGGGATTTATGTATTTATCTATTCCATCCTTTTTTTCTGATTAGTTAGAGTGCCACCTGTCAGAAATGATTTTTTACTGAAAATAATTTTTGGCGGGAAATTTTTCATTGTGGTACTGACACATGTCCTTTTTGTTTTCTGCTTTAATTAAGTACTATAGATAACTAACAAAGACTAGTTTAAAAAATTTGGTTAAGTGTGTTAAATACTCTAATTTAATGAGGTTTTATGAAAAAAGAAATTATTAGTGGATGTATCTTTCAGCGCACATAATAAAAAATTTGTCTCTCGTTATCTCCAAAATTTGCAAGAAAAAATGATATTCCTTCTGTCCCGAAATGATTGTCCACGTAGGAGTTCTTTTTTTTTCTGTTAAATTATATTGAAAATAAACATCCAGACTACAATCATTTGGAACAAAGGGAGTACTTATTATTGTTCTTTATTTCTTTTAATTTGCTTAATTTGGCACTCTGTCTATACACAAAAATAGTTTATATTGAGTAATGTGATTTTGATTATGTTTAGTATAAATATCAAAATTTAATATGGACTATTTTTACTTTTCTGAAAAAATATAGCATCATATTTGTTCTCAGTGTAACATTATAGATCTTCTTGTTGAAATACTGAGCCTAATTAATCAAACAGAAATTAACCAAATTTGGGCCCAACCAAAGCTGACTTGGCTCTTTGATATAACTTAAGAACTTTAATAAAATTAAGTGTATTTGAAAATAACTGAAAACTTTTAATGAATTAAATTTTGAACTAATTAAGTATTTAAAAATTAAGTGTATTTGATAACTTTACACTGTCTGAGTTAATTAATTGCTTCTGAATGTAGTGAACACTTTATTTTTGAGATAATTCTTTTCTTCCTTTTTTTTTGTTCCTCGTTTTTGTTTTGACTCTTATTTTTAGAAAGTTGGTGAAAGTAAAGTTAATATTCCTGAAATTTTGATTCCGAGGAAAATTAATATTCTATTTTACTTTTTGATTCCTGAGAATATGATTTTTAGGAATACAATTACTTTCTTTTGTTTAGTTACATGTTTGAAAATGTACTTCAATATGTGAATAAAAAAATTTATAGGTTACAAACCTCCTGAAATACTCTTTATGAGTTAAAATCAAAATCTCAAAGACATCCACTCATAGTCTAACTACACAAACAAGAACTTAGTCACGTTATCTATAATACATTGAATCTATAGGTATGTGTGTATGTAAGTTTAAATTTATAATTCAACAAAGATCATGTAATTTTGAGTTAGATTAATCAAATTCAAAATTTATTTTATATGATCAACATGAGTTTTGAGTGTTATACTTATATATAATTATGATATAATATCACAAGTTATTTAATGAAGTTTGATTTTAATTTTTATTGAAAATTATAAATCTTTCTTTTTTTTTTATCTACTCATTTATCTAAAATTTTATGTGAAAATATTAATAATGTATTTTTTATTCCTTAAAAAATCATTTGGCAAAGTGTCTAGTTTTATGTAGTCAAATCAAATATTTTGTTAATAAATAATATAAAAACATCGTTAATCAAATTATAAAAAAATAAAAAACATATATTATATATATAATAAATTAGATTAAAAAAACAATGTATAAAATTGGATGACATGAAAATGATAATAAACAAAGAGTTATGGAGACTGAAAAGTGAGTATATATTGATATCCTAAAAAATGATAATCATAATACCACTTCTAAGGCGAGTAATCATAATCCACGAATGTTGTTCTGTTTATTTTCCTTAATTTTAGAATTTTTATTTTTTTCACATTATTTTATTTAACAAAATATTGATTTACCCACATAAAAATAAGAAACTATATCAAAATGATCTTTTAAGGAATAAAAAATAAATTTTTAATATATCTCTTATAAAATTTTAGATAAATGAATGGATAAAAAAAGATTTGTAATTTTTAATTAAAAATTTAAACTTCATTAAATAACTTGTGATAATAATGTAGTGCCTGTAAATAAATTTAACAGTCAAAAACTCATGTCGATCATATTAAATAAAATTTTAAACTTTATTAATCTTATTCAAAATTGCATAATTTTTTTGTTGATTATAAATTTAAGCGTGCAAACACACATATATACATGGAGTCAATATACTAGTAGATAATGTGAATAAGTTTTACCTCGTGTAATTAGACTTTAAGCATATTTTATTGAGATTTTGAATGACGAGTTTATAGAACATTCAAACATATTTTCCAACGTTTGACGAGTATATATTGTTCAGAATCATTGTCAAGTTGTCATGCCAACCGGGTTTAAGGCGGGTCAGTAAATTCAATTGGGGAATTAAGGATTGGACCCGACGACCGAACGCTGCCGTTTTGATTAATTGAAGCAGAAGCTTCCTGCTGGACGTAGGCTTGATCACACATGCAGACAAAATGGAGCAGCTTCCTTGTTGTTTCCATTCATTCCAGCTGTCCTTAGTTAAATTAATATTCCATTTTCTTTTGCATTTAGCTGCCTATCAGCTTCTAGAAGATTAGGGTTAATATTTAAGTTAATGATGTAAGAAATGGGGGATCATCATCGATTTTGGAACCTTAAACCCTATTCCTTTTTAAATTAATTTTGCTTGCTTTTTCTTTACCCTCTAGATTCTCCTCTGCTCCTCCTTTCTTTTCTTTTTGCTCCGAAATCTGAATTCCTCTCAGTTTCACGTGGTCCTGTTCTTTCCTTATTTGTGCAAGAATCCAATTTTCAAAAAGAAAGGTAAAGTCATTTCTTGACAACTTAACCCATATATTAAACAGGTCAGGTTTTTAAATTCGGACCCAACCCATATATTTTGCAGGTTATCCGGGTTGGACCCGTTTAACCCTAATATTTTTTTTTTATTTTAATACCGAATTAATTTCTTTTTTCTTAGTAAAAATTATGAATTTTTTAATAAAAATCTTTTTTTTCTCCACATTTTAAAGTGCAAATTAAACAAAATATGAAAATTAACCAAATTAAATAGAAAAAATTAACCAAATTAAACAGAATATGAAAATTAAGAAAAAATATTATAAAATTACCAATATGCCTATAGAAATATATAAAAATTACTATATAAACCTATTAAACGGGTTGACCCGTCAAGTTATCCCGATCAACCCAAATATAACCCATTTGTAATCCAACCTGTTTATTATTTGGGTTAAAAATCCCAATCCAAACCCGCTAAATTCGGATTGGGTTCGGGTTGGGTCACGGGTCATAACCCAAATTGACACCCCTATATTTCCTTTTCGCTTGGCCTTGGACACAAATCATCATGCTTGGGATTTCCGTGTGAACTTGTGATTATTATCTAGTCCACCGGTTAAAGGCATCCACAATCTCAACTTTGTTCTAAACGGTTAATTGAATGCATGGACGGTCATTTGCTTTTCTTGACCCCTTGTATACTCTTTAATAAATTAGCGTTCATCTTTTTAGTTTTTAGCAACATGCATCTTTCTTAACCTTCACTCTGTACGAGATAGATCTTCAATTTTAAAAAGCCAAAGAATAAAAAAAAAATATCATAACATTATATCATTAACTTTCTAGTTACATGCAAACCTTTTAAATCACATCTGCGCAACGGTACTAGCATTATTGATTGCCGGACTTTATTTTGCTTGTTTTAAGAAAATTGTGATAGCAAGTTGAAGTGGTCTGTCCAATACTAGGGTGCTATCGTTGTATCAAATTACTACTTAGTTTATTATGTAGGGTCTTTGGAGCCTCTTAAACATTTAGCTAGTATTATTGGAATTTCATAGTTTTGATTGTACCATAACCATCCTGCTCCCTCTCATATCAAACAAGACTATGTTTATGCAATATTCTGCCTTGATGGGCTTTAGAAAATAAAAATCAAAACTCTGAGTTCCAAGATGCTATATTTCTTCCTGTCCCTGATTCTAAACGGCATCAATTATTAAAACTCCTTTCTTAGCCCAGCGTGCCCCAAAGATAAGCATGCTCCAAAACAGTAAAATCGTGCCCTTAGTCCCAGGGTCACCCACCCGGCTTTTAAAGCCTGAAAGATAAGCATTCTCTACAGCTTTGCACAAACTCCTCAGCTCTTCCCCCCAAGATATACTTCAGCCTTGAAAGCATATTCTTTACTGTGACATGCTCCTTGATGCTGGAGATAATGTAGTCTACCAAAGAGAGCTCTTCCAATCCCAAAAGTTCTGCAATCTTCTTAGTGATCCAAGGTTTCAGCCACTGGTCCAGTTCACACTGTTAAAGGACACGCCGAGTTATGAGAAAACTTAAAGAAGTAGCATAAATAATGTTTTCAATGTTTCCTTCTATCCAATTGGATGTTGACACAAACTAAAATAAGATTTTTTAACCTCCTGTAAACCTATCACAAGAATCCGGGTGTGATAGCTCCCCAAAACACCACCAAACAAAATAATATCGTGAAAACATCTTAGCCCTAGTAACACAAGACCTATACTGAACTAGGAAAGAAATACCTTAAGCATTAAGCATTCATCATGGACCTAGGAAAGAAAAGGGAAACTCATTGTGCAAGCTGATTTTAAAACATGAACATATAATGCATCGGGGAGTTGCATACCTCATCATACGTTGCCCAGTCAATCTCGTATGACAATATCGAGTCTCTGGTGTCTGGAATCATAGCAATCAACCTGTTTGCTTCCTCAATTGGCCATTTATCATTTGTCTACACTTCATCAAATCTTACTCCTTGAGGCATGTCATGGCCTGAACTCTCTCCTATCTTTTGCCTCTTAAGCCTTGCCTCAACCTCAAATTTTCATTTGTTGTTCAATTCTTCTTCTAGACTGTAAGCCCCTCTCATATCACCATAACTACTTCTCTTCTTTTCGGGATCAGAACCATCAGCTTTACGCAGCTCACTCTCCCTCTCGCAAATAGTAACAACAGTTTCCAGCAGCGGTGTTGTCTTGGAATGAAATTCATTTTCCAGAACTTTTACCTTGCGTTTGAACTCCATAGCTTCTCCAACAGTCAATTCACGAGCAGAGGGATGAAGAGGCGGTGGGTTTTTCAACCGGTCTAGCATCTTCTTGAAAGCCTCTTCGTCATTATGTTGATCTTCCTAGTTCACAACCCCAAAGCTGGAAAAATCAACATCCTGTGTATCTGAGGTTTCATTGCCACCTTTTGTAGGTCTTTCTGTGACAAATTTCGACAAGTCCCCAGACAGAGATGCAATATCGCCATATCCACTTATTTCAAGCACACTACAAGAAAAATGACTTTTAGCGACACTTTTGAGGCAATGTCGCATTGTAATGGCGCAAATTTGCGGCATTAATGTTTTTTTGCCACAATTTTGCGGCACAATAACGTCACTGTGTAAATATGCCACTATTGAGCGTCGCATATTTTTTATGCCGCAAAATTGCGGCATATCATTGCGACAATGAAATAAAGTGATGTTAATTAATGACATAATTCTTATTTCGTTGCAAATTTGTGACACTTTCGTGTCATTTTTCTTAAATGCCATAATTTGGCTTCCACTATGCGTCATTAATTTTTGCTGCCGCAAAAGTTTGGCGTAGGTGCCATAATTTGGATTTAACTATATGGAATTTATTTTTTTTTAAAGTCAGTGGCGTATGATACTCTAGTGTACCAAATTAATTTCTGAAATGGAAAAAAAAAGTTAAATTGGTGCCAGTGCTAATAATTACATGTATGCAATAATCCCAAATTTTTTGTGTAATAACTAAAAAAAATAATTAAAGAGGAATGGTTGTCAATAAATATGCTAAATAGGGGAAAGAATGGCGTTAATGGTTTTTCTCAAACACAAAGGATTATAGACAAGTATATTACTATTTCTGAAAAATAATAGAATACTATTATGTCAAGAGTTTCAAAAAAATGATTTAAAAATATGAATAGGTAACTACGTGCAGTTGGACTTTTGAAGGTCTTATGTTGATGTGTGTGTTATAATCACCCAAGTAAGGATAGCTTTTATAAAAGTTTTATATTTTGGACCAAATTAAATAACAAAGTTTAACACATTTAGGACTATGCATTTTGGATCTTGGCCCATGGATTGGGCTAACTACAATCATAATAATTGAAAGTATGCTCTTTATTTTTTTTAGAATACTAGTTTGGCATCCTAATATTTATTATTTGACCCCATTAGATAATGGTTTTTCTCAAACACAAAGGATTATAGACAAGTATATTACTATTTCTAAAAAATAATAGAATACTATTATGTCAAGAGTTTCAAAAAAACGATTTAAAAATATGAATAGGTAAGTACGTGCAGTTGGACTTTTGAAGGTCTTATGTTGATGTGTGTGTTATAATCACCCAAGTAAGGATAGCTTTTATAAAAGTTTTATATTTTGGACCAAATTAAATAACAAAGTTTATCACATTTAGGACTATGCATTTTGGATCTTGGCCCATGGATTGGGCTAACTACAATCATAATAATTGAAAGTATGCCTCTTTATTTTTTTTAGAATACTAGTTTGGCATCCTAATATTTATTATTTGACCCCATTAGATAATATGATTTGAAGGATTCAAAATGAGCTCCAATTTGACAAATTTAAAATAATTGATATACACGAATTGAAAATGCATTGAGATTTATAATTGTTTAATCATTACTAAACGAACAAAATTTTCATCGATAATAATAAATAAAATCTACTCAAAATAATGGTTTACCTTACTAAGTAGTAAACCCTCAAGTAAAATCAGATGACAATACGAATAATACATCTTGTCTAGTTATTTGAAAAAAAGAATAAAATGTAATGTAATATCATGTAAGAAGGTTACTTCTTTTATTATAATGAATACTATTAAAAGGTACATGTATAATACATTTACAAAGATCATCATACATGATCATAACTACATTTGACCAAATAAACAAACGAAATATGCACATATATAACACTGAACTGTCTTATACAATCTAATAACTAGTAGTACGCACAAATGTGGAAATCACTCCTTGTTTTCAATTATTTTTTCATGTTATAATAAAACAAAAAAAATTTATTGGCGTCATTGGAAAAAATGAAAAATGTCATTAATTAGGAGGGTAATTGATTAAAAAAACCTATAATGTAATAGATAAAAAAAATATCTTCTATGACTAAAATAATAAAAAAGAGTAATGAGTTTATTATTTATACAAATAGTAATTGTTAACCAAACAAAAAGAAACATAAAAACTACTACTAATTATTTGTACAAATAATAGTACTAACTATCTAAAACTATAACTACACGTCTAATTACTACTACTTACTAGTGCTTACCATTACTACAAGGTAGTTAGGCTGCTCATATATAATCCTAGTTTTAGCAAACCTTACATTAATCCAGCCGCCTCCATCCACTTCTTCCCTCACCTCGCCTGTCTAGATTTTTCTCCCTTCTCTCTTTTCTTTCTTTTGTTTCTTTTTTTTTCGTTTCCTTTCTTTAAATTTTCCCTACAACAAAACCAGCTCTTCCGAGATGTGATCTTGTCTTAGAGGTTGATGGGACATCTATAGGTTTGGTAGGGAAGCGATGAACTTGCCCGGATCTGAGGAAGAATTGAAGTATATTGGTGCCAAAATTTACGAAGTCAAAAAGTGGGTACCTCTCCGGCAATAAGACGAGAAGATCATGGGCAATCCGACTATGGTATAATATGATATTACCAGTAGAGATTGATGATGATTTCCAAAGAAAAGGGGTTGTAAATCTTTTAATGTTTTTGCTGTTTTTTTTTTTTTTCTTCTAAAGTTGTTCTTATTAGTATTTTTTTGGTCCCATGGTGATTTCTTGTTGTTCTGGAATGTGGTGTGGCTGGGTGGCTTGGTTATCAATGATTTACCTACTTTATGTCTGAAGCAATACGGGAAATGCAGAGGCAGGTCATCTTCACAATAACAGGAAAAACAAATCAAGTGTTAAGATGGTGGGGTTGTCTCTAGTCATTTGAATATTTATTTCTATTAAATTATTTTTTTTGGATTTATTATCTCTGATGATTCATTTTCCTCCTTTTAAATTCATTTCCCTTTTCTTGTTTTGGTTTTAGCCATGACCACAGTCTGAATCACAGCCCAGAGCTATCTGCACCCGAGGACGAGGAAGAGAGTGTGGACACTAAAGAGGAGGAAGAAGGGTGTGAAAATTATTGTTTAGCCATTGATGAAAATATTATTTAATCGATTTGCTCTAGAAACTCCAGATTCCACCAATGGGATACATGAATTTTTTTTTCTTCTTTGTTTCGAATAAGATACATGACATTAGAAAATTAGAGTTTCAGTTTCTTTGTATGAATTTATCAGAATGGTCATTTGTAATTGTACATGAATGATAGTTTGTTTAATACTCCTTTCCATTTTTTAGAATAAATTATAATAGTTTTTAAGTTTTATAACATTTTCTTTTTTTAAAAAAAATTCATTGATTGTTATATATCAGATAAATACATATATAATCTATTCTTTAAACTATTAAATAGTAGTAATTGAATAAAAAAAATTGACGCATGTGAATAATAATTATGTGGCACTTATAAATGACGCAACTAACCATGCAACATTTAACATGTGAAGCAAAAAAAGTGTCACCATTACTTGTGGCTTTAACAAATTGACACGAACTAGTGCCGCAAATTCGAACGCGACAAATAAAACAAATGACATCATATATGTCGCGAATTGCACGAGTCATATTATTAATGTCGCAAAAGTGCCGCAATTACTTCGACACTTTCAGGAAAAAGTGTCGCAAAATTTGCGACTGCACTTATCGCGACACTTTGTATTAAGCCGCATGTTGTGTCGCAATAACCTTTTTGCGACACTTTTGCTACTTTTGGCTGCACATTTTATATGTCGCTAAAGGCCATTTTTCCTGTAGTGGCATCTTGTTCTTTTTCTCTTGAACAAACTGCTAAAACTTCTTTAACCACTCCAGCAACATGTACCTGAGGAAGGAATAGATTTATAGAAACAAAGAGTGCCAAATACTAAAGTACATTAAGTTCAATGAAAACAAAATAATTCCAATGGAAATTAATAACTTAGAGATAAAGGAATGACTGGAGGCAGTATGTAAGAACTACTTCAGAGCATCAACGGCCAAGGTAACCAATATAAATTTTAATTTAATACATAGTACATCACAAATTAATAAAGATTAATGATAATTTTGATTAAGAACAACAAAAGAATGTAGATTCATGAAAACGTTTGTGAGGTGTTCAATTGAATTATAAAGCATGTCTTGCTTCCTCAACCAACCCCCCCCCCAAAAAAAAAAGAAAAGAAAAGAACATTGATAGTTCTGAAAGGGAAATGAGAATAAAAGTAGTCATATAATAACTGATCATATATATCATCATCAACATATATTATAAAGAGTAAGTTTGGACAAAATTTCGGTAATAATTTATTGGAGCAATAATTAAGAAGAAAAAAATGAAAAAAATATTAATATTGTAATAATAATTAAACATATATATAACTGGGGAATAATATGTAGATTTGGTAGTTCTCCACATGTATCAAATGTGCTTGATTTTATCTCAATATGAGTTCTTATGTGAGAATATTACTGTTGACTTTTGGCCTGCCTAAAGTTAAGTCAGTACTCATTAATTTTATAACGGAAATTTGCCCCTTCCCTCTTACATTTAGACGATTGGACTTCCACGGTTACATCCAATCGTATTATGCTCAAAATAATGGTAATATAAGGTAATAAAATTCCCCCAAGTTCTATGGGATTCAAACTTTTTTGCTTAAGCTATCCCTGCGTACTCTTCTATTCCCTTCTTTGAGCGTAGATTTTTAATAACTCAATTACCATCCATAATTCACAGTTTGATTTTTGGTTTCTATAGTCAGAGAAGACACATAAAACATGTATCGATCCTATCCTATCCAGTTTGGTTTTCGAATTTATTTTTTTTTGTTGTGTTCGTATTGTATTACATTTATCTTACTCGATGTTGTATGGTGTAATTTTGTTTAGATAAGGAGTTGTATCGTATATAACGTTAATGAT